TAGGGTTTGGAGGAGTGGGGAGAGCTCAAACTCATTTGCAGTTTGTTTCACAAGATCGAGCAATTCAACATTTGTATAGCCAGCAACTTGGCGGATTTCAAGATCACTGTCCGAGATGCAGTACATGATGGAGCCCAGTAGCTCAGAATAAAAGAGCAACAGGCGATCCCCCCCCAGTTTAATAAATTCCTTCAGCCAGGTAATGGCCGTGAGACGGTTAAAACGTTCTTTGTTGTGACATTGATTAACTAAGATACCAACCATGGGACCAAATTCCACGACTGGTGATTTTTTAATTTCATTTAGGAAACCAGCAATGGCAGAGTCTGCAGCTTGGCGAATCTCTCTGTTCGAATCAGAAAGCATATTAAATAGGCCGTCCAAAAAGTCGGGCAGCCAATCGAGCATATTGATATCTGGCACTGAGTCTAACACTGTAATCCAACCTGAGAAGCACGCCAATGACAATGCGAAATTCAACTGTACCAATCGCACCAACGAGAAGTTGACGTATGTATGGATTTGATCTCCGGATGTATTTCTGGAGCAAGGGTATAAATCGTTCCACATCAAACGATTCGGATTCAGTGACGACATCCTTGATGAGTCTGTCCAGTAGATTCGCACCATTCTTTACATCAATATCCACATCGGCAAACAGCTTGCATAACCCATCAAAAATTTGGTTGAAGTACCTCAAAATGTGTCCTCGTGCTACCTTGGCAATGTTATATAGAGATTCGCAAGAGTAATACCTCACGCGGCTTTCTGGATCGTCCAAGCAATGTAACACAGGTGGGAGAAGAGCATCAAGATACAAACGTATGTCATGCATGAGACCTATAGCCGTAGCTGCGAGTCCGATCAAACCTCCTTTTCGATGGTTTGCGTTGGTGGAAGTCGCAAAATCCTGGCCTAACATTGCGATCACAGAACAGATGCGATCGGTATCATTGTTCTCTTGAAGCGCCTTTATCAGGGCTTCTATTTCAAGCGCAGCGTTTTTCCGTTTATCATATGAACGATCGCCCAAGGACCGCAGAATCGCTGGCGGAAGCGGGCTTTCAGACGGACTCGATAGCGCGTCTGCGTTCTCGAGCGACATCATTCAAGGCAGATTAGAGAGTTTTCTCTAGTTAGAGGAATATGAGAGTTTCCCTAACGCCGGACAGTGCACCTGATGGATAGTAGTTAGAGAGATAGAGAGATTTCTACCTTCATCTTCAGTGAACTGCATCTTGATGTTGCAGTGCACTTTACCCCACTGCGCTCCTACTGCGTATCCTGCTAGTTTTCCCTTCCCTTCCTTAATTCATTCTAATCCAGTTTCAAGTCTAGCGTCACAGCGACGTGCCAGATAGCACCAGGCTCAGCGAGGTTGCACAGTCGCCGGACGGTGCACCTGCTGGATAGTAGCTTGACTGGCGTCATAGCGACGTTAGGAGGCTAGTAAACTATCCTAACTTTCTAATGAGCCTGAGGGAGCAGGGTAGGGATACTCTCATATTTCTCTAACTAGGGAAAACTCTCTAGTCGGAAAGTATTAAGGAAGGGAAGGAAACCCTGGGCGGCTCTGTGGCAGCGGGCCGCTAGGTAGGCGAGCCTCTCTATCTCCCTAGAAATCTCCCTATCTCTCTATCCGGGCATTGGCTGCTCTTTACTTGTAACCCCTGGCCATGAATAACGGCTTCACGAATCCTACCGCCAGTACGAATGGTACCAACTTCGAAGTTCTAGAACATGTTTCGATACTCGTGTAAATTTACAATCAATATACTCCTACTGGCCTCGCTTCGCATCGGGGAGCCATTTCGTCTGCTGAACGCCGGTGTGGAACTCCACGACGGATTGGCGCCTTATGAGGTAGGCCTTGTCGGGCGAGTGGAGGACCCCAAGACTACCACGCCGGAGCATGTCAATGAAGGAAGTATTTCCACGCGCACTCATCCTCGTCGCTGGCAATCGGTCCCGGGACGTCAGGTCTGTCCAAGCATGGTAGGCCCGCTAGCAATGAATAGATACTTTTGTCATGCGAAGGAATACGGCTACTGTGATCGGCGGACTGGCACGTGCCACTGCAATTCTGGCTATCAAGGAATCGATTGCAGTACCTGCGAGCCCAGCCATTATAGAGCAGGCTCTTTGTGTTACCCCAAGCGGCTATGCCAAAGCGCCGGCGGGCTAGGCATCACTTCTGACTGCAGCGGAGCAGGTATTTGCAACTATACCACTGGTCTTTGTGAGTGTCAATCTCAGCGAACTGGTGGCGACTGCTCGATTCCAAAATGCGCTACGTTCGACCCTCTTTGCACTGAATGCACAACGCAGGGGTGTACGAGATGCGCAGAAGGTTATCGAGTTGACAAAATGTCTCTAACTTGCAGGGGCTGTGCTCGCGAATATGACCCACGGTGTACTTCGTGTGATTCTCGAACATGCTTACAATGTACCGACAGGCCATTACATTCCATTCACCGATCAGGCCGACGAGTGATAGATCCTGAACTATCGCAAGACGATTTAAGGGAGCTATCATCGGACCTTCGGTATAACACGCAGCAGTTAGAATACTTCGATGACTCGGAATCATTTCGGCTAGCGCCGAATGTCAGCCTAAGTGAGCCTCTCCACGAGAGAACGACGCGCTGCGAACAGGGGCGCGCCGGAAGCCCCGCTTGGAATTGTACGAAGATTTCAGACGAACTAAAACATGTCCTTTGTGGCCACGAGGGGACCTTTGCTTGGTCCAGTTCCTCCTACGCTGTTGCCGAAACGGCGCAGACTATTCGCCTGGCTGTGCGGCGGACAGGTGGTGGGGTAGGGTCAGTCAGTGTGCGCTACGCAATACGGCACATCACAACTGACACTAGCGATCTAAGTCCTACGGCCGCGTATACACTATCGACTGTGCTACAGTTCGATGCCGGTGTCACCGAGCTCAGCTTCCTTCTGACTGTGCACGATGACCGTTCTTTCGAGGGCAATGAGGTCGCAGTCGCCGAGCTGACAAGTCCCAGAGGAGGAGCCACAATAGGTGCGCAGCGGAGGGCAACTATCACAATAGTCGATGATGATTCCCCTCACGCCAGTGCTCAACACTCTCGTGTTGTGGGTGCCTCGCGAGGTATTGCTGGTACCAGTTCGCAGACAGTCGTTCTTGCATACTCGGGAACAGGCATCAAGATGCATACCGGAGGTGACATCTTTGATGTCAATTTTGAGCCGTTGTTCTTTTCCTTTGTGTCACGTGGGGAAACAAAAAATCGCAAGTACTTGAGACTACCATATGCTAGCGAGCTCAGCAGATTTGACACCACCATCCATGATGTCGGGAATGGAACTTACTTTGGGTGGTGGAATGGAACAAAGGTGGGAGTATACAAGCAGCACACATCGGTGGTAGCATTGGGCGGCCTGTGTGGTGAATACTACCAAAACACGAAGCTCTGGGCAAAGGAAGCCGTGGTACGTACAGATGCACAAATAAAATTTCGCTGGGAGTACGGATATCTTAAAGTGGGTGATTCGCCACAGATTGAACTGGGACTGGACACTAATTTTGTGCGGTGGAGTGGTCGGTTGTGTCCAAGCTACAGTGAGCCCTACTTTCTGTATGTAACTACTCTTGGTGAAGGAACTGGTGTGCGACTCTGGTTTGACGGCAGGCTGATAGCGGATTCCTGGAGAGCTCGGAATTATCCAGAGTTTGGGTTGAAGGTGCCCATACATTCCAAGGCGGGTCATTTGCACTCGATCGTCCTCGAATTGCGCCTCTCTCGTCCTGCTCAAGGATGTTTTCTTGGTGGCAGGAAAAGAGACCTAGTTGGGTGTAATAAGGGCATTTCACTTGAATGGTCGTCGACATCCACATCACGTACGATTATTTCCCCTGATTATTTGTTCTTGAGTAGAGCCTTCATCGACGGGCATCCGGCGCATCTTGTCAAATTCTTGCGAACGCGGTAATGAAATAGGTATTACGTAAACGAACTCCATACTTCCCCAACTGTCGTTGAGGTTGCCTCTGCCGCGGTGTCTGCTGAACGCTCTTTTGGTGTCGGGGGCGGGTTGACTGCCGGCGAGGCTGGTCACCCGCTTGTATTTCAAGTGGTGCTTGCTGATGTGTTCGGCAACCGTTGCGACGATCTGAAGCCATTTTTGTATGCGCTTCCAGTCGCTAAAATCCGCACGATGGCGTTCAGTCCCAGCTCGCTTAAAAGTCGTGACAGCTTGAACATGAAAGCAAATGCGACCCTGAGGAACCCAGCACAGGAATCTCCCATCGTGGTTCAATTTTCTCTTTCGCTGGATTTGGTTGGTAGTATTGTTCGCGCTCACGGATACTCGACAGCATCTGGCTCGTACGACTTGGATGTGTCTTACAGAGCTAACCACTCTCATGATGATTTGGCGACGGGGCCACT